TGAGGGGAGGAGGAGCCGGGAGGTCTTAGCGTGTGTCCCGGTGCGGGGCTGCTCCCGGGCTCGCACCGCTGCCGCGGCCGCTTTCCCGCTCTCCCCAGGATGCTCATGCCCCTGGCTCTGCCTCTCTGGGACGGCGGTGCGAGGCACAGCCCTCCCTGCGCACCCCCGCCCCGCCAGAGGCTGCAGGTGGCTCGGGCATCCTAACGATACCAAGGGCTCCGGGCCGGGGGAAGGGGCGAGGGTCCTGTCCCCCAGAGCTCTTCCGCCTCTCAGCACCGGCGCCTTGTCCGTGTGCTCGTCTCTTGGAGCTCTAGGCAGTAGCTCTTGCAAAAGGATGGCAAAGCCACCCTTCCCTTGCATTTCTGTGGCAGGCATCTTCCCAGACGCACACTCAGTTTTATGTGCGTTTCAGAAAGGATTTGGTAGGTTTTCAAACCCCTCTCTGGCCTCAGTGCAGTCTTACATGCTGAACTTTTAAAGTTTTGTGATTATTTTTCCTTATTTCTATGGACAGCTTCTGCATTTTGAAGAGTGTCTTAAATTTCTGCTGGGTGGAAGGAAATGGAGTCTGACCACAGCACCTGGGTGTTTTGTTTTGTGTTTTTTTAAAACGTCTTGTGAAAAGTGGTGTGCAGGGTGCTGTCTCTAAATAGCATCCACACCCCTGCATGCAAACATTTATTTCGCTCACTCAGTTTCTTCATAAGGAGCTTCCTCCTGTTGGTGCAGTTCCGTGTTTTAAATTAACCACAGTTGTGAGGGAGACAGAGTGTGCTCATTGCAGCTTTTTGTTCATAACTTGTTTCTGCAAGAAGGTCCAAGGCAAGCACAGGATAAAGTAACACATTAAAACGATGTCTTACCAAATCCACAACCCAAAGACTTGTGGCCCAATGAAGGAAGCCATTCTAGATTCAAAACTTTTCCATCAATGGTAACGTGCTGAAAACCATTAATATGTGGCTACGCTTAAGGATAATATTATTTTAAGTTAAAAAAAATAAAATCACACGCAAAGTCCAGAGGACATTCAAAACATCTTGAAGCCCGTATTGATGAATAAGTATTCTCACAAAGATTTCATTATGAAAATCTTTTTTATTCGTGTACGTTCTGGTTTTGCTAATGATCAGCTTAAGGTTTCAGTCTGCAACAGAAAGAACTAGCGGAGACTTTAAAAATACAATCTTGGATTACTTTTATTTTTACTTGTCACTACAGGTTGTGCTCTTTGGGTATAGTGACTAATTTTTCATTATTATTATTATAATCTTGGCCTGAGTGTTATAACTCAGCTATGGAACTATGGTGAAATTCTTAATATCTTCCTTTCCTGTGCCTACCTACAAAACTGCAAGAACGAACCGACCACCTTTGGAACAGAAAGGAGGACATAAAGATGAAGCTTTCATTGAAAATGTACCAGTACCTCTGGAGTGGTGCCCACTGCTCCCAGCTGCTTTGATCGGATCTGGGGATTTAAACACAGCAGACTGCGTTTTGTTTGTGATGCTGGGTGAAGGGACATTGTTAATTGTTTGTCTAATGAAAAGCTTACGGTGTTCCATCAGGTTCCTTGGGTTTGTTTAGGTTAAATTATTGTGTCTTATTTTAAGGTATACGTGGCTTGTCAGTCAATGCTGATTGTGCTTGTGGGAGCTGTGCCCGAGTATCACATAGACCAAGAAGGAATCCCAGCGAACACAGCTGAGCTTGCCAAGCACATCCACTTTGCAGGCAACTTCACATCTATAGTAACCGAGGCAAGTACTTCTGTTGCTCCTAACCATTTCTTCTCTTGGGATTTGTGGCACTTGTGCAGGATGTGATGCTTGTAAAAGCTGGGCAGGGCTTAGTGTAATGTTTTGCTTATGCTGATAAAATTATTTGAACTCGCCCATCTGGCTTCTTATTTTATTACTATTTTAAAGTCTGAAAGTATATTATTAAATTATTAGTTTAGCTTTCCTAGTGTAAATTTAATATTTATTAGTTTAGGTTAAGCTTTATTGGGGTTTTTTTTCAGTTTTCTTTACCTTCAGATGTTTGAGAAAATCATTACTTGTGAAGGATGATCATTTAACCACAGTTTATAACTCTGGAATTCCGGATGCATTCCTCCTAATGTCTATTTTCTACCAAGAAAATGGTCAGTTTGTCATGTCTGCACATGTAAGCTTTGCCATGAGTTGCATTAGTTTCTCATCAAAGGTGCATCTTAAAGATTAAAACCAGTATGAAAATGAAACTCATGCACTACATACGTGGATATTTTAGTGTGTGGTGAGAGTGGGAGATGGAACAGATTGAAGTTTGCTGAGTGGGACAAGGCTTGACCCTTCATCCTCGCACCTTGTGAATTCCACGTAAAAGGCTGTGCTTGCTTTTTGCTGCTCCCTGGGCCATCATCACTCAGGCGAGCGCGAGTGACCTAAGTATCGCTGCCAGTGCCAGAAAAAAACTGTGTGGGTGCCTTGGCTCGTTGTGTGAGCTGTCAGAGCTCCGCTGAGTGAGTTCTTGGAGTGGCTGTCAGTAAACTCCCATAAGACAGGTTAGCGCTTGGTGTAGCCGCTGCCAACTTTGTGCTTCCTTCCCATCATCCCACATGTTTCTCTTGGAAGAATGTAGTGACTAGACATGAGAAGGAGTGATGCAATATTGGATCATATCCGCTGTCAGAAACAGATTTTTTTGATTAGCCCGTCTCTTGATTAGCCCAGACTTCAGTTTCAGACTCTCAGCAGGACGCATGGTATGGGGTAGTGCTTAATTTATAATCAGAAATCAGCAGATTTTAATGCTGTTGTTTTAAATGTAGAAGTCAGTGTCCCTATTTCCAAAATATGTGGTAGTTCTCAAAACTCATCAAAACAGATTTATGTTCCCATTTGTTTCACTAACTTTACTGTAAGATTTTTTTAAACTATATCATTAATAGTCTTATAATGAGATCTGTAGATGCTGGCCAATGTTTTGCTGTATGCTAGCCGTCTAGTAACTACATCAAACTGCCATGTGGATTTAAAGAGGATGTCTGTTTTGGTGATAGAATTTTTGTTGGCAAGCTACAGTTAATCTTGACAAATACTTAACAAGTTCTTTTTGTGCAAATAAAGTAGACAGACTCATCCTTTTGAAAGTGATATTCTTCACAGATTATTGTATCAGACTTGTTAAAATGGGAGCATCTTCCAGGGACAAGCAGCACAAGAAACAGTTTGCAAAAGCAATCTTTTCTCTTCTTCTGTCCTGAGAGAGGAAGCTGCTTTTGTAAAGTTTATTTCCTTTATTTTGGTGATGGAGCTTAAACTGTAAATATTTTTGGTTCTGGTTTGGCACGAGCACTGTTTTGCTCTGGAGCTCAGCAAAACTTCAAAGCAGCTCTTCCGTTCTGCTTCAAGAACTAATAATTGTAATTAATTTTGGCATAACTGAGACTTCATGAATAATAACTCAGGCTTGGTTCATGGAAAATACAGTTGTTAGAATTGCTTCTCGGATTGGCATCAACTCAGCCCCCTGCTTTAGTTAACTAAAGTGATGATGCTTAGGAAGATGAGTTTGGGAATGTCTTGGATTTGGTATGGATATGGTCCTATACCTTTGAGAAATTGATTTTTACAGTCATACCCAGGAGCATAAAGTTGTTTTGTCTCTTATATCAACCTGAAACACCCTGCAGATGAGAACTAGGAGTTTGAAATTTGTATTCTGTGGTGTGCTAGCATGGAGAAGAAGGATTTATGCCAGCAGTGCTCCGTGCTTTGGAGAAGACATGCTGTCTTATTTTTTTCCTTGACTTTTCTTGAGGATTTATGCCCAGGAATATTTCATTGTTGAAGTCTCCTCAGGAAGTTAAGAAACCCTAAGTTTCGGGGCTATATCTTTATCCAGTGTAGTAGGGTAGAATCTATTACTCAGCAGGGTATAGTAGAAACCAGCTGCAAATGCTGCTGCACAGGAGTTTTGGATACTCGGGGAAGGTGGAAGTCCCCCGAAACTCTGAAGTGCTGGAACGCTGGGTACGCTGGACTAGAGAAAGCATCCTGTGAATGCATTAAATCTTGTCCTGCTCCCACAGGCTGTGTCTTGCAGACTGCTGTGTGAGTGGGGCAGAGGCAGCTGGTGGGTTACTGGGTGGATGGAGCAATGTCTTCTCTGTATTTTCCACTATGTGAGTTCAGATTGAGGCAAAGACTGTGTTCCTTGAGATTGCTAGGATTAAGTTTCAGTAACTTACTGAAGTTGTGTAGGGATCTGTATTAATTCAAGGCAGACGTTTCAGGGCTGAGGTCCTAGTATACTGTATTGGATTTTGGTCATGGGCCTCTTCCCTGAGGGGAAAAAAAAAAGCCTTTTTGAACCTTCTATTTCTTAATAAAAAAAAGGAAATGGGATCAAGGTCTTTCTTTTTGAAAGTAGATTTTCCAGTAAATACACTGTGAATTATTTGGAATACTCAAAAATAATGATTGGCTATTTATTTGAGTAAAGCTTTGCATTGAATTAGTTAAATTTTTCCTGGAAAATCACTTAAGATTTTCTGATTGCCCTTGTTTCCCAAGTTCATGAGACCAGCAATGTTTGTAACCTCACCAGTGCATTTGTGTGAGTGTTAACTCTCCTTGTTTGTGGCAGGGGAGCTACATAAGCTGGCTGTGCGCCTTGCCCCCTCAGGAAGCAGCCTCAGTTTCACCAGTTTCACCTCGCTGTCAGTTCATTTTCTTCTCCTCTGACAACTTTTAATTATGCTGCCTCAGTTTAGCTTTTGGATGAGGTAGAAAGTACATTCTATTAAGAAACTAATTGTTTCTTACTTCAGTTTGATTATAAATGCATGTGGACAATAAAATACTGAACTATCAATGAGCAGTCAGTAAGTAGTTCTTCGAGTTGTTATAAAACATCTTTCCGTATTCCCTTCCTGCTTGTCTCCAGCAGTTCAACGTGTGCATGATGAGGAAGGGCACCCGGGATTACTCATGGTTCAGGAAGCGTAGCTGTACAGTGTTAACTCTCTGTGTACTGCAGCATTGAACATGCTTTATTCTTGTTAATAACTAATTTTTATTACCTCTTCATTGAAATAGCTAAGCTTGTTCAATGTTGTAAACTGTTAGCAGTTCAGACTTAACTTGTTCTGATAACTTAAATTGCCGTGTCAAAGCTTGGGGATCGCAGTGCCACTAATTATACCTATCAAGTTGAAAGCTAGTAATGTATTATGGAGAAATTCTTGGGGAAGAGAAAGTACAGACATGAGGGTCTGTTAGGGAGGAAAAAACGTGACTACTGCTGGTTTACCTATCCAAATTCCAACAAAACCGTAATTGGATCACAGACTCACAGAATCACAGAACGTTAGGGATTGGAAGGGACCTCAAAAGCTCATCCAGTCCAATCCCCCTGCCGCAGCAGGAACACCCAGATGAGGTTACACAGGAAGGCGTCCAGGCGGGTTTTGAATGTCTGCAGAGAAGGAGACTCCACAGCCTCTCTGGGCAGCCTGGTCCAGGGCTCTGTCACCCTCACTGAGAAGAAGTTTCTTCTCAAATTTAAGTGGAATCTCCTGTGTTCCAGTTTGTGTCCGTTACCCCTTGTCCTATCATTGTTTGTCACCGAGAAGAGCCTGGCTCCATCCTCGTGACACTCACCCTTTAAATATTTATAACCATGAATGAGGTCTCCCCTCAGTCTCCTCTTCTGCAAACTAAAGAGCCCCAGCTCCCTCAGCCGCTCCTCATCAGGGAGATGCTCCACTCCCTCCATCATCTTTGTAGCCCTACGCTGGACTCTCTCCAGCAGTTCCCTGTCCTTCTTGAACTGATGTAAAGCAAGAAGTGGGAAATGGCAAGAGAAGAATGTTGGTAGTTTTTTATTATTTTTGAGGAAGCTAGCAACCTGGTGTTAATACTTTTAACAGTAAGGAGCTTCTTTTTTTGACAGTGGTACCTAATTGAACAAGAAGCCTACAAAGTGAGCCTTGCATCATCCCTGTTTTTTGCTGGATTGCTTATTGGTAATATCACATTTGGCCCTTTGTCAGACAGACTGGGCAGGAAACCAGTGTATATCTCGGGTAAGTTTGTTAAAAGATTTTTCTTAAGCATTCTACAGGGATAACAACGTGGTTTCTGTCTGCCTGGAGGCTGCTCTTGAGCCACCCTGCTGTGTCAATGTTAGAGTCAATGATCTGTGTAAGCATTTAACTCGGAGTAGAACAGCAGTAAAATACCTCAGTAGGAGTGTGCTGGACAGCATAGCGGTCACCAGAATATCAACCAGAGAGAAAAAATAACCTGGTTTTGCTTTGGCTGTCACTATTTGAGCACAGTGTTCCACACACTGCCTCAGTATATTGTCTCCAGTAAAAATGGTTCACTTTTTTGGGAGGGGAGGAGGTGGGGGAGAATGGTTTACCCAAACGTCTTTAGAGTGGGTCACTCGTGTACTGGTGTTTTGCTTTCCAGCTGTGTTTGCAGCCAAAGGGCTTTTTTTTAATGCAATAACGTTGTCTCAAGAAAACATCGTCTTTGGCATTGCAGACCTCAAGTGTGTGCCTTGAAGATGGTTGTAATTTTCATCTTGTGTGAGTTCGGAAAGCCAAATGTGAGAGATTAGAGACAACAGTGTTAGAGACTACTCATTACAGCCAGGAGCTTGCTGTGCTCCCTGCCTTTCTTATGCTATGCAGCTTGAACTCAGAAGTACTAATTATGCCTTTTTCTTTCTCTACAGGTCTGTTTTTTGATGTCGTTTTTGGGTATGTCACAGCATTAGCTCCAAATTATGACATATTTGCAGTTTCACGGTTTTTTGTTGGAATTGTGAATGGTGGAATGGCTCTCGTGTCTTTTGTCCTAACACAGGAATATGTAGGAAAATCATTTTGGTCATTTACAGGTGGGATTTGGGAAGATTTAATCATTGTTACTGAGTAACTTATCATTATATTGTTCTGACTATCAGTACCTTATATTTTAAATTCTTATGTTTGTACCAAGTTGGTTTGTAGCATAAGTCAGATAAGTGTGATGGGTTTCATCCAAGCTGTGGTTTCTGTGGGAAAAGTGCCTGAATAAGGAAGATGGAATTGAGTTTGATAAATAGCAAAACTGAGGTTTTAAAATTGACACATCAATTCTTAAACTGTCTCAATTTGTACACTGCATAAAATAAAATAAATATAATATATAAAATAGTATCTGTTTCGGCAGATCTGGGCCAACTTCTGAGCAGTGCTGTATGGTATCTTGGGAAGGTGTTCTTGGAAGTGTTCTTTGAGGTTTCCCTGCACCACGAAACAACTTAGTGCCTGGATGGTGTTTTTTTCCGCTGTTGAATGTGCTGACTATCCAGTATTTCTAAATGTCCCTTTTCGTATGCCTCTGCCAAGACTTAAAATAAATTTACCATTTGTACGTCAATCTGTTGTAAAGCTGGAGTAGCTCAGACTGTAGCACCTTTTTGGCTAGCGAAACATGGGAAAAACTTGGTCCAAAAGCTGACTTGCTGTGGTTGTAAGCACATTTCTCTTATTTCTTCAGTTACCTCACTCTATTTTCCTTATTTCTTCTCTGGACTCCTGGGGATGTGTGAGACAGTTGTGGTTTAGTTATAGCTTTCTGCTTAATTTTTTTTGTTTTAAAGTACTGAATTTTCTTCTCCTGGGTTCACTTTTTTGACTCACGTCTTCTCTCTTTCCCACCCCTCCTTCCCCCTTGCCCTGTTGCCTATCTATGCTCTTCCCCGCCTGTCTCCCTGCAGGGCCAGCCTTCTGATGGACCAGACAGTCTGCTTCCCACTGCTTCTTGCTCTAGCTGCTTTATTCTAGTTCTGCTCAGCTATTGAGAAACAGCAGCTGAACCAACTGATCAGGAGAGAGAGCTGCTGGACGCAGCTCAGCAGTGTTAAAGAAGCTCTCCTACGTCTTGGCTGTGAGCTAGGCTTTGTGGGCGATAGCGGAGAGTTTCTGGGTTAGTACAAGATCTCCTGTGTGTTAGGCTGCAGAGGGTTTGTTGTTAGGCTTTTGGAATTCAAGCTGACCCCATGTTTTTTAACATCTTTACGCTTGTTCATCAGAAGTCTGCTGTAATCTACCTCTTGCTTGCAGTTGGTTTTATACTGAACTCAGTCCTTGTATTTTTATAGATTTCTTCTAATTTCTGTTCTAGCCTGCCACCTCTATTCAAGATTACCTTAATAGAGTCAAGTAAATCACTCTTGACACTAAATAGATCACTCTTGACACTTCCCCTTCTTGTCCTCAGGTTTTCTCTTTATTCTGTAGGCTCCTGATCATTTTTTGCTCTCTCCTGTGTACCACTCATTATTTTTCAAAAGAGGGAAAAGAGCCCCAAGCCCTCTGTATGTTACACAAACTTAGTCTTCATTAACATTGCATAATATGCTGAAGTCAACTAGTTCACAAGTGCCATAAATACTACTCAGAGATTTTGCTGCTATTTTATTTAGGTATATCATGGGCTAGGAACTTCAGGCTTATGCTTAAGAAATCTGTTTTCTCTTTTGCCAGTGGTTTCTGTAGTCACCTCTTTGGTGTTGTATTTTCAGGTTCATTAACTAACTTGACGTTTGCAGTTGGCATTGCTGTTTATGCTTTACTGGGTTACTGTCTGAGAGAATGGCGCTACCTTGCCTTGGTATCGAATACTCCAGGAGTCATCTTCCTCCTCCTGTCTTTGTAAGTGGTTCACATAGGTTATAACGATAAGAAAAAATACACATTGATTTAACAGTTACTTTTTCTTGTCCTCATTCAAGAGAGTGGTATAAACAGGGATGACATGTTTCTGTGTGGTTTTGCGAACTGAGAAAGAAAAAATACCATGTTGTGAAGTAAGCGGCAGTTTTAAATGAAGCAGGAGGTCAGGGTTACCCAGAAGACGAGCTTGTGTTTCTGCAAGTTCTTACAGTTGTGGAGGTCAGCACTGCAAAGAGCAGCTGTGTGCCAGCTGTCCAAGAAAACTGGATTACAGATCTGCCTGGGGAGGGGAAGGCCTGCCCGAGGCTGCGAGTGCGAGCAGCAGCCAGGAACGCTGCCTTCTGCCAAGGAAGGGCTTCAGCGCTTGAGAAGCCTTGGAAGTGATCCTAGAGGGATTTTAGCGTTTCTTTTCGTGAGACACGTGCATGCAAAGGGAAGTAAGTGAGAGAGAGCACTTGGAACTGTCTTTTTAGCATGATACTCTAGGTATCTGCTTGCCTTTGAAGTCCCTTGTGTCCATTCCTAGCACTATTGTACTTGGGTGCTCCTATTTAGAATTCCTAGATGGTCATAATCATAAAAATGATTATTAAATGCATCAGTATTTAAGGAGTTAGAAGTGCTAGCTTTGCCCTGTGTTACAAAATAATCTTTAAACATATCAAGTAATGCACCTTGTACAATTCTGATCACTAGTTAGAGCTGTAGAAGAAATGAAATGATTAGTAGGTTGTACACACAGTAATACAGGGAATGTCTAACATACAGCATAAAACTGTCTAAAATACAGCATACAAACGTCTGATTTTTATTTCAAATTTTTTGAAATTTCAGTTAGGTAGATCTGCACTTGAAATAAGTTCTGTCAAAGAATACACCACTAAAAAAAACCTCTCTTCAAGGAAAAGCCTCTGGGCTGTGTATGTTCTGCACGATTTACTTCCTGTATGGTGGGGTGTTTCTGATAGAAATTTACTTCCCCCAGATACTAAAAATACTGGGATCCTCTGAAGTAATGAAAGTTTAGTTTGGTTGTAGGATGTGTACCTACAGGAAGTAGATAGTACCAGAGAAAATAAAGATTCAGTTAAAAATATTCCATTCTTTATTTTATGGCTCGTGTGAAAACAGCAGCAAACTCTAAAGCTTGGAAAAAACCTAACCCAGCAATCATAAAATGAAGTTGTGGTAAACAAGAGTATTCTGATTACACTTGGGAATAAGAGATTTAAAACTTAAGTGGTAGCAATGAGCTGATGCTGGAGCCTGACAAGTGATTCCCCGTTAAGGTTACATTCCTCTTGTCTCCACTCCAACTCAGAGCCCTTCACATAATGGAGAAACTTAAACTTTGTGAGGACAGCCTAATGGCTAACTGGGATTCGATATGCTCTGAGGGTAATGCTATTGTAGTGTTTCCTAAAAAGTCAGTTCATCGTAGGTCAGGATTTAGATTTGAACTCCTCACATTACTGAGTGCTTTGTCAAGTATCTCCAACAATCTTTCTGTAAGGTTAACCGTATTATTATTGGAATATGTGGAATTTAATATGCACAGCAGTGCAAATAGAATATTTTCCTCCGAATTTTGTATTTGTATGTTTATGGTTTTAAGTATGGATTTGCAAATGGGAAGGTTGATGTTAGTGCTTAGTTCATAGGGATGAACTTGCCATTGCTGATTTTCTGTCCGTTCCTTTCTGTTCAGTATGCTCCCAGAATCGCCACGGTGGCTGTATTCCCAAGGGAAAACAGCAGAAGCTGAAGATGTGTTGCAATATATTGCCCTTGGGAACGGCAAGGAGAGATTGAATCTAAAATTAAAACCAAGTGCAGGAACTTTGAGAAAGGATGAGTCGGCACCTGGTATCCTGAACTTAGTAAAACACCCAGTCCTTCGCTGGCGAACCATCATACTGATGTACATCTGGTACGTACTAACAGGACGCTGAGATGCTGTGAGTGAGGCCTCTATTAAGATTTTCATCCTTTCCTTTTAAAACTTCTGTCATCAGAAACCAAATCATATATTTGTCAGTTGGTGGCAGGCAATAATAATCTAAAATGATGTCTCGTGAAGTGGATGTTTTATCATTATTGCTGTTGCGTTTTATTTTCAGTGTATTACTTAGGAACTGTTTCAAAACCTACTAAGAAATAATCTGGTGAGAACGTGATATTTACATTGAGTGAAATGAGAAGCTGAAGCAGAAATTACTGAGACCATGTGTATTTGAACCAGTCTTGGGAAGAAAAGGACTACATGGATTAGACAGCAGTAGAGATCTGGAATTAAGAATAAGCATTAAGAGCATTACAAAGGTTCAGTGGAGGAAAGCTGTGGGCAAGATAAAATAGATTGGACAGATTTATACTGGGTGCTGTCTTGAAAACTGGTACAACTTGGGGAAAAAAAAATCACCCTGAAGTGCAGGAGGATGTAACATAATGTATTAGCAATAAATGGCAGTGCAGAGGGAAGCCCTGGGGTGGGGAGGGTGTGGAGGTGGTTGTCACAGCAGCAGCTGTTGCAAATTGGCTTGAGCGAAATCTGCTGGAGGAACAGCTCTTCCAAAATGCCAAGAACAAGTTTTCCCTTTTAAACCTCAGTGTCCTTTGAGATGATTGTCAGGGTGTAGATGAGAAAAATCAGCGGTTTGGTGTGTGGGGTAAACAGAGATGTGTAGACATGGGAGAAGCAGCAGGAACATATTTGCTAAGTAGGAGCTTTCCAGAAGTATCTTAGATTGTTAAGTTACTGGTATGTAAATATAATATATCCCTTCCCCAATAGTAAGGTTGCTGGAAAGCCTTCCCTAGGTGTGGGGTTAGGCCCTCTGTTAAGCAGTGGATGTACGTATAGTTTTCTTTTATAGAATTACTTTGCAACAGTTAAGTAGTTAAGCATCATCTGATTACAGTTAAGCTTATTAGATTTGCTAAATAACCTAGGGAAAAAAAACCCCAAGGTAATAGAACATTCTGAAAGTTATGCTGGGCATATATACGAGCATTTGTCTTCTTTCAAGAAGCTACTTTGTTTAATGAAACAGGAACTGTTCTTTTTGCCTTGTTTCCCTTTGGGGGAGAAGAAAGGCTCCCTTCCTAGCACAGAACTCAATGTAGCTAATCCGTCACTTGGCATAGTTTCCCTTTTAAATACTTTCTTAACCCTAAAGACTAGTCATGTTAGTAATACAGCTTCCATGGTTATTTTTAGGTATGTCTGCAGCTTTGTATACTATGGACTAACTTTACATGCTGGTGAATTAAGAGGAAATCTGTATTTAAATGTGGCTCTTTCTGGTCTTGTAGAAGTTCCAGCGTTTCCTCTCTGCATGTTTTTTATTGAGAAATCCTGGTAAGAAAAACTTATTTCCTGGTTTCCTGCATATATTTGTAGATAGCCTAGAAAAATACTAACATTTTTCTCAGTGGGATACTTCGCTATTCTTCTAAAACAGCTGATTCTTTAGGGATTTAGTCTGCTGCAGGGGTTTCTGCAGTTGATAAAGAAATGGGACTCAGATTTCCTACCTCTTATCTTTTTTAGCTTTGTTCATCTTTTGAATTATTCAAGACATGAGCTTTTCAATGATTAATGTTAATTTAAAAACTTCAGTCTTTATAAAAAATACGAATAGCCTAGTTATTTAAATAGCTGTAGCTTATATGTATCTTAGATATTTTATTCAGAATGACTTATTTTTGAGCTGCCTACCAACTGCAGTTGAAAGCAGTTTTCGGCAGTGTTCAGTTTTTACTTAAACTTTTCAAAGAGAACTTTAAAGTGAGAGGTGTTCACTTTGCAGTCTGGCATCCCAGAGCTACTCAGGGTTGCAGGTTTAACCTTTCTTTTGGACATCTTTGTAGTGATGCCTTGGTCTCACTGAGGTCAGTGGCAAAAATCCTATTTTCTTCAGTCAGGTGAGGATGTCACTTTTTGGGTTTTTTGGGCAGGAAGAAGCTGTCAGCTCGGTCAAGCTAAAAGCCAAACAACCAACCAATCTTCAACCCAAGCCCAGAAAACCTAAGTCGAGGACATGCGTTTAAACCACAAACTGTACAAGTCCTTTTTTTGGACGTGTTTTACATGGGGGTTTTTTCCCCACTGTAATTTGAAATTTATAATTCGTTTGACAAGCTTTTTGTAAGGATATCTGTAGTTTTAGGTGTTTAATGCAAAATCGAATGTGACAAGCCAACTGCTCTGTTTTTATTCATTTTTAGTAAGCAGTGTCCTTAAAGTATAGCTTTTTTGTGATAAAAAGAGTTAAAATATTTTAAAAACCAGCATTGTATATTGTTATAGATAAACTGTAGTCCTACTAGTGTGGGGTAGTAGTTGGAAACAGCTGTGCGAGTTCATGAAGTAACAAGCATGTGTAGTATTGCTGCGTGCCTGCAAACTGTTACTAAGAATATCTTTATTTGTGGTCCTTTGCAGAAAATTATGAAATATTTAAGTATGGCAGATGTGGAGATGGGCTGGTGATTTTCTCTCCTGTCATCTTTTATTTTAAAACACTAAGCAGTAGAAAAAGCCTTTGCTTACTTCCCTGTGTATACTATTAGTCAGAAAAGCATTCAGAAGAGTTTTACTGTGTCATAACTGCATGTATTCATTCAAAGTTGTAAAAGAGAAATACAGATTAAGAAGCATTAGGATTGCATTTTCTTGACCAATGTTAATTTGATTTTTTGTGTGTATGCTCCTTCTGGTGACAGGGCTCATTGCCCTGGAAAAGATTTGAAAGCACTTACCAAGATTTATAGATTTATAACTTATTAATGCTCCTGTGTACTTGAGATGGTATTTTGCAGGCAAATTCAAAAAATACCTAAGGACTGTTTCCATCCTTCATCTTTTCCGTCCAGGTCTGGAAGATGTAAAACGATGACGTGTTTCCTGATATTTGCAGGATTTGCCTGCATATTTACCATGTTTTTACCAACAAATGCTGGTAAGTATGTACAGATGCTAAATCAGATGTTTGCTAATTTGGATGAAAGCTGACAGAGCAACTAAGTGAATAGTTTGTGACCAAGTCTGTCAGGACCTAAAGCCCTACTCATTTCCAGCTTTCTCTTTCTTCAAGCTGTCACATTCTGTCTCAAATACTGACACTGTGTCCATTTATCACTATTAAGCTGTTTGCCTTAAAATACTGGATTTAATAGCCAGACTGCAGTGCAGTGTAATGTTAGTTTAACTGCATCTTGACAGTGTGAGGTGCCAAGCTTAATTTTACTTTTGTTTTGGTGGCATGTATTGTTTATAGAAAGAGGAAGTGAGGTTTTCCTGAGTTAGAAGTGTAATTCATCGTGGAAAAAAAACCCACCGCTAATAAGCTCTTAAAAATAATTTTGTACTTGAATATTAGAAATGGAAGCTGGAACTACAATATAGAAATCACACAGAGATTGCAAGAAGCTTGCTGCCTTTGTCAGTCGCAGGCTGTGTATTGCTGCATTATGCTGTTGTGAGGACAGTTCGTGGTAGCAGTGGAGTGTCATCAAGTGTATTCCATCTTGAGAGATGTGTTTTTTCTAACATTGTCAGTGACATTCACGTATGTCTGGTCTTGTATTTTCAATTTACCTTCCATGTCAAGTACAGTTTTTCTGTACTAATATTTATTTTAGCTACTGAAAACTTATGTCTGTATGACGCTAACAAATAGAAGTGACTGCTCACTGCTTGTGTTTTCCTTAATATTGTTTCAGTAGAAATGTTTTAGCTTTAAGAGTGTTTTGACCCAGGAGCACCAGCGATGTGATTAACAGGGTAGCCTTCTGAAGGCTGTGTTTATCCTTAACAGTTATAAATGCTGTCTGGCATCCATTTCAAATTGATCTCAGAAAGAAAAACAGAGCAAGAAGATAACCCGTAATCCTATTTGCCATGCTTGTGTTAATTCAAGTCCTCGGACGTTTTGTTGTTCCTTTCATTGAGACTTCTGCTTCCTTTGTTCCAACAAGTTTGCTCTTTCTGCTTCTTTTTATGGACAAAATGAAAGAAAAGCAGTAGCAACTAATCAGGATAGGGCAATAATTCCTGAAGAGCTGCTGAACTTCAGGATATCTTCTGCCTTTTTCCAGTTTGAGTTGACTTTAATCCCATTAAAACGTCTTACTTTCCATTGTGGCAAGAGTAGAGCTGGTTCCTGGCCCAGAGTGATCCGTGTCAGTTAAACAGAAGGGAATTCAGCTCTGAGCATGATGAGGATGAGTCACTTGGCTGGGTGAAACGAGGGTTGTTGCAGCTGTAATCTGGCCCTCCTGTTACTGAGGAGAACACTTCTTATGTTCATCTATGTCTGCGTTCTTCAGAGTGATTGACAGGAGCTTTGATTTTATTACAAGGGATTTAAGGCTTTAATGAGTTATTGGGCACTTGCCTCCTGTGTCTGTAACCTTCACTTGATTTCTTAATAACTCTGCTAACTCATGAATGAGAATCTGATCCAAGTCATCTCCCCTGTGGAATAAGCCAAGAACATTTCAGTTATTAAAGATGTGTACTGAATTTGAGACTACAAATCTCTCAATGGTTAAGTAAAAACTGATATATCCCTCAGCTCCCTCTTTCCTTATCACTTAGAACTCATCAGTTAATTTGTGTGAGTATCAGATTGAAAGATGGTGAGGGAGAGCGGCAGTGGAGGGGGAATGGAGCTGTAATCTTTTATTTCAAAGCTGCTGTAAAGCACAAAGACATCTTCATTTTGTGTTTGCTTTATACTGTAGCAAGAAAAGGAGACTTCGAGTCTAGGGATAACTAGATTTTAAATTTAATTTAGATTTATCTGCTTGTGCTGAGCACATAATAACTTTTTGTTACAACTATTGATATGCTTTCCACTAAAGAACAAAAGAAAATTTGCAGTTCTTTAAATCAGTTGTCTCAGCTTTTGTTAATGTTGGAGATTTCCTTTTGTTGACAACTTGTCTTTATTGGTGGATATTTTTTCTGAAGTAAATTTAAAGACTCTTTAGTTTCAAAAGTACTGTTTAAGTGAACTTTTACTTATGATGATGGCAGCCAGGAGGTGAATCTACATAATGGCACTGCAAATGAGACTTTTCATGGTAGTGACGGTATCAAAACTTTTAACTACTGTTTTTAAGCTCTTAAACGTCAGCACCATTTTCTCCTGGTTTACTTTCTTAAATTCAAAAGAACAATTAAAGGAAGATTATTCCTTGTCAATAAAACTCAAATGCATGAATTTAGTCAGAACTTACAACTCTTGCAATGTACCTGAATTTGAAAGAGTTGCTTTGACTACACTGTTCCAGGCAGAATTGTGTGCATACCATTTGCTACTGGCCGTGCAGCTGAAAGGGTGGTAGACAAAATACAACAGAAATGTTAAAGATGCTGCGTGGACACGCTTGGCTGGACCTAGCAAATGACTGATAAATGGTCACCAGAATCCCCATAGGAGAAAGTGCATTCTTGCTTAATGGCATTGCATTTTATATCTATAAAGAAAATAATGGAATGCTGTGCAAGAATTCCTAAAAATATGCTCCAAGATTCCGGGGGAAACATGACTGTGTCTGGGCTTACTTGCCCAAAGAAGCTGATGTGCAGTGAATTCCAGAGTGCTCCTAATCCCACAGTAATTCCCCACGTGGCCAACCCTCGGCCTCCTCTGAGGGAGGGAACCTGGAGAAGACCCTGCACTTAAAATTCACTCCCAAACCAAGTGCTAATTTCTCTGTCTAGACAGACTTTTTCTGTTCTGATAGTAAGACTAAACTTTCCAAGTGCATTAGTGCTACGTTTTTAATACATGGATATGCAGTGTTCGATTTAAGCCTCCCTGTCAGAGTTTTAAAACAGATTGGAGAATTACAGATCTCTTCTTCATCGCTTCATGTTTGGGTGATGGAAGAAAAGAGATGCCCCAGCTTTCTGATGTCACCCAGCAGTTGCATCTGGTAACTGTATGTAATACTCCAGTTCTTACTGAGCCAAAGAAGAACTTGGATTAAAGTGTTGCATCTGTTTTGCATGAAATACAGAAATAACTGAAAAAATGCATCGTGCTTAAAGAAATGAGAAGTTTCTGGATTCTAGTTCACGTGCAAATTAATTTTTGCTTCAGCTGAAGTAGAATCTGACTTGATCAGATGAATAGAGCTGGAAGTATTTGAGGGCAGAATTAAAAGAAAAGCAATTGAAGAGCAATCAGAATTTCCCATTACTTAATCAACATAATTTGATCCAAATTGGAACATGCTGAACTCAGTGCTGAGGAAAAGAACCTGAAATACAGCTAATCAGAGCATTTGTTCTTTTTTCATGCTTAAAAAAATGCGTATTAAATTATCTTTTAATTAAAATGGTGCTGAACACGTAACCATGTCCAAAATCAGGATGACAAAAGCCAGGTTTCATTTGAACTTGAAAAGAACTGCACTTCAGTTTAACCAGCTAAAGACTGTCTGTTAGTCAACTGGGCTGCATTGGCATTTGTTCTTTCCAATTACAGAGCTGCTGCATTTTAAGTCCCAAGAGGGTGTCCTTGGGGAGCAAAGAAGCTGTTGATGTGAATCAAGTCTTATGGCTTTAATCTAATAAATTAGTCAGGGTGTTGTATTGCCTGTTTGTGCTGGTCAAAAGGTGCAGTTACCTGGCGAGGTTTTCTGACTGCAGAGTTGCAAGCGTTATCCTTTCCTTCTAGAGGTGTGATAGTTTTATGCTTTTCCCAAAAATGGGGCAGATTTTCTTGGTCCTAAACAGAATTTGATGTATCTGTTCTTTTGCTAGCTCTTAGAGTGGTTGAGAAGAGCTCAGATAATTGCTTTTGTGCTTGTAGTTGAAAAACACATGGATAAAACGTCATTTTTGTGTGACAGTCTCTTAATAAGGACTGGATGTTTTCAACATGTTAAGAGTAAAAAAGCAGACTATTTATGCTTACAGCTTATTTTTTCTTTCCTGAAAGGTCTGCTCCTCAGTCCCACTTTGTTAGCTTTGTGTGGAAAAATGATGGTCAGCGCTGCTTTCAACATCGTGTATATTTATACGTCCGAGCTGTACCCAACGGTGCTGAGGTAACTTAACAGAGCTTCTGGTTAAATGAAAATACTTTCCATGCACCACGATACTGATTGCTGGTGTGCTTGTAATATTTACCAGTAATTACTTTTACCTGAAGTATCAATATGAGTTCTTGCTGTAATTAAGGCCGCTTGCCAGAGCTTGAAAGGCCTTCTCCTATTAGTCACACGTTTCGCACCAGTGTACTTACCTGGGCTGTTTGTGCCAGCTTCTTCTAGGTCTGAATCCAGAGTAAAAAGATGACAATCAGCTTATTGTACTGCAGTGCTAGCTGCTGTGTTTCTCATTTCTACCATTGATTTTTGGCTGTAAAATTACAGGGTGCAAAACCAAACGTAATGATGTGATGGAAGTGTATGCTAAATTAATCATATAGACAATGCAGCAAGGACTATTTACAGTCCTTCTGACTACTTGTATCTCCCATGTGATTATGTTTATTTGCCTCCTGAAAAACAAGTGCTTTTCTACAACTTTCTTAACTTTTCATAATGCAACTAATTGTAATAGTTTCTGTATGACAGTAATTTGCTTCACACCATTTAATTGGTGAACAACTGGGCTAAAACCCTAATTTTCATAGTTCTCACCAACACTTTGTGAGGTTGCTCTCTGTCCTTGTTGTCCCACGATAAAGCTGCGACACGAAGATGTGGTGCCACACAGTCCTCTTCTTCTCGCCCCCGTCTTGGTTCCACGTGGTTTTCTGGAATGGTACTCGAAGTACTTGTTCAGAATTTGAGCCACATTGCACCAGTTGCTCAAGAACAGCAACTACAAAACTGCCTCAGAAATCGAGCCCTCTTTTGAGAGGGCAAGGAAGTTGAAAGCTGACATGGAGCAGGAAGGTGTTCTGGCTGGTAAATGTGCCCTCTAGCGCTGTAGAGGTAATTAGGATGGTGACATAAATCACTCGATTCCAGGACACTGAGAGCTGTAGGGTAAAAAAAAATGTGGGTGACTCCTTGGATTTGTTTTTTTTTGTTTTGAGGTTCACAATTTCCCATATGTTATGGAGGCATAAAAACTACACTGAATGCTGTTTTTGCAATAAAACTTGTGAGGATGGAGGTGGATTGACTGCTTCTAAATGCCGAGCTTGTGATTCTTGGCAAAGGCTTGGGTTTAATATATAAGTCCCAAGCACATTCACTGAAATTGGATGTGGGAGGTTGTTTACATTCTCCCTCTGCAAACTTTTGTGTTCTTTAAGGACTCTCTCTAGTGGGTGATTTTTGGGTTTTATTTTCCTGCCCCCTCTGCTTTTCAGGAGTTGAAAATCAAGAGAATGAAGTCTGAAAATGTTTTAATTTCTCAGCTTTTCCTTGTTTCACTGTGCTCTCGTGTTTCATGTTACCCTGTCTTCTGAAGTCCCATCGACGTTTGGTGCCAAATATGTGACAGCTTATACCCAGCAAGAACTACAGTAGTGTCTCTATGTGTTTGAAACTGTTTGTGATTAGGAAGATTTTTTAAAAAATAATCTAAAGTGCTATTATTTTTATTATATTTATTAGTTTAGGTTAATTTTAATTTGAGAATCTGCACTACTATTCTGGCACCGAGTAACTGTACGTGTCAAAGACAAACCACCAGTGGAGAAAATCTTAAGAGTAAAGACAGTTCAGAAAAATAGCAACTTTATAAGATAACCTGTGTTTAATAATATGTCAAACTCTGACATTAAACCATATGAAAATTCCTTTTGTGACAATACATACAGTTAATTTGTTCGATAACTCTCTGGCACTTTAATTGCAAACATTCCAGTTTATGCAAGAAAAGCAGTGGTGGCCAAGTGTTACAATTTAAAGCAAAGCATCAGCACCATCTCGTGGTCTGTGCAAAGCTTTGTAGCAACCCTGGCATTGCTCTGACAGCAGAGCTGAGGCGTGCCATCTGAGATGCACTATCCTAAAGAAGTGGAGAGGAGGTGGAATATATGTTTTTTTCCCCAATGGCATGTTTTGCAGAGAAATTAAACATCTTCAGTATTACTGCTCCTTATTTAAACCTACTTACTACTTTAAGCATAAGGACTTATGCTAGAAATGGGGAGATGCTGCAAGCCAGTGTGTGTGTATGTGATTTGAGCTTTTTACCTTTGATGTGTCTTTAAAATACCTGCTGGGCAACGAAAAAGTTAACAATAGAAAACATCACTGGTGTTGCATTTTGGGCAAAATGGAAGGTTGTCTTTGGAAAGAAAATGTAATCATAGCTCTAGTAATACAGATGTAAAAACACCCTCGTGTGTTTTTCATGAGAAAATGGTTGGAAAAGGATAACATCCTTGTACGGGATGGGTGGAATCAGAGGAGGGCTGCTGGCCTGTCTAGGATAGCATTGGAAAGTTTATTTTCGCATTGGGGAAGCTATTGTATTTTCACTTACATCAATCATGGTAGATAAATTTGTACTTCTTTACAATATTTGCCCTTTTGATCTCTTGCTTTCTTTGCAAGGAGCTCCCCATAGTTCTTTCTGTTGAACAGCAATCCTTGGTGAGCATCAGTGCAATCTGGGCGCTGCCATTGCCAGCAGCAGAGCAGTGTTTGCCCCTGTGCAGGGCCGTACCCCAGTCCCGGGGCAGTGCTGGGCGAGCTGTGCAGCTGGAGGAGCACTGCATGGTGCGTGCAGTTGCCCTGCAGCTGCAGTGGGACCAATTGGCTTGAGCAGAGGCCCAGGCTGATGTGCTTACCCTGGTTGTAGAGATACTGTGGTTGGCATTAGCTCAGTGTGGTGCTCTGTGGGATGGTAGGAGTGTGCACAGCCAGGCACAGGTTCAGTAGGTCTTCTAGTGAGCGTGGTAAAAAGGGGCAGTAAGGTGAGACAGGCAGTCTCTTTTTCCTCCTGGAGACAGTGACGTTGTTCTGCACAACCCAAACTCTGTTGAATTCTGGGTCAATTATATCCCAAAGACTTTTAAAAACTGCTTTCATTTCACTCTGGAATTGAAGTTAAATAATTTCCATTTAGGATCACCTTTTGCCCTCCTCCTCAACAGAAAATAAGAAGCTAGGAAACCTCTGGATACTGACTGGCTTAGACTGTGGGGATGATGCTTCTAAATGCATTGTTCACACATGGACTGGTATCTCTCATCTGTTTAGGGATTTTGTTGACAGAGGAGGTGTTTGGCCTTGTCTTACAGGGTTTGGGTCACCATTTCCTCAATGTGAGGAAGCATGGGTTGCTATTTTCCTTTTCCTAAGATGATCTAATGAGATAATAGGTTGCTGTGTATGTTTATTTTTACACCAAAGTCACTGACTTCTCATCAGCTCCTTCCCTCATCTGTTTTCCTTAAGCTGTGTAAGGAAGGGATGTGGAGGTGGATGGTTTTGGTGTACTAGTAACCCGGGTCACCTCTCTGCTTGTCGTCTTTAATCCTGTCACTGCCTTCCTGTCTCTGGAGGAAGAAAAGGAAACGGGGTGAGCAGGGGCAGCTCAGGTCAGTGGTGTGACTGAGGATGAGGATGAATGAGAGGAAGGAACCGAGAGACGCAGGGAGGAGAACAGCCACCATGAGCCGGTTCTTGCTGTCTCACTGATGACTGGTGCCAGTGTCAGTCTCTGAAGGGGCTATAAAATACCATATCTGAGAGTGATGCAGGGATGGAAGATTCTGCCGTTTGATCAGGAAATGAAAGACTTTAGGGATCATTGTAATTTTCTTTCAAGGAGGATCCTGCTGTTCTAACCCATGCTTTGATTATCGCAGTCTAGATGAGGTTGTTTTAAACTTGTCTGAAAGCTGAAGGGAGCGCAGGATTCAGCAGCCCCTCTACTGACACATCTGACCAGATGCTTTCAAGCTTCACGCAGGCAAGGAGTTATTTTCTGTCTGGAGATAAGCAGTGACTTTTCATCTGTGCAACCCGAGGGGGCGGAAGAGAGGCTGCAGCCATGGGCCTGAGCTGGAGGTAACGCTGGGTTCTTCTGTCTGAAGATCCTGCCAGATTTTGAAATCTTTCCCCATCCAGCACAGGGATGTCCAGTTAAGTTGCCCTATATGACAGGTTGGAAAATCTCTCTCTTTGCTCAAACTTTTGCAAAGAATTGCACAACAGAGTGCTTTTGTTAGGGTTTGAAAGGGTGTGATTTACCTTTCTAGCAGGTAGATGTAGAAGATCTTGGGAGTAACTGCTGGAGGGCTTTAAAACTTTTTTTAAACAAAGACTATTGATAACTTCAGAAATAACAAAAGTATAAGTTGGTTCTAACAGTGCCGCTACATTTTTATGCTTTCTGTGTTCTAAAACTACAAATAATTTATCCTTTGTTTGAAACAGAAATGCTGGCTTGGGTGTCTGTTCCATGTCTTGCAGATTTGGGGGCATTTTGGCTCCATTTGTGCCATCTATGGTAAGATTTTTTGTTTTTTACTTTCTATGTAGCTTGGATGTATTAAATTATCTTAAAAGCACTTTTCTGACTTTGGTACCACATACGTGTATGTTCCTTGAAAGAAACAAGTTTCTGAAAAATTAAAATTAATTCCATTTCAAGAATTAATGAACAAGATGTTTACAAATACCTCGTATTTTATCCTTTCTTGGAAATAATTTAATGTTCTGTGTTGTTAATATTTCATCTGTCAGTGAAGTGACTGTCTTATTTGGTACTGCTAAGGCTCGCTTACTATCAGAGTTCTTTTAGGTATGTGAACATACGAAGCTGCTTCTGTGGGATGACATTTATTGGGTTTCTCTGTTCTGTGGGTATCTGGATGACTGCACAAATTGCTGGAGTGAAAAGTTGTAGTCTTTGGTTTTGACTGTAGTTCATATGGATCAGTATGCAGGGTTTTTACTGTGGATTTTTAATTTTAGAAATCTCTTAGTCCTTCTATCCCGTTCGTGGTGTTTGGAATCAGTGGACTGTCAGCAGGATTCCTGACTCTTCTTCTACCAGAAACTCTAAATAAGCCAGTTGCTGAGAACGTTGAAGATCTCCAGAGTCCCAGATACCAAGTGCTTAAAAATGAAGAGGAAGAGTAATTTTTCTTTCTTTTTTTTACTGTAGCTTTGCATCATTTTCCCTCTATGTTATGCAAGCCATGATGTAGTGCACATTGCTTAGTTTGTGTGTGAATGAACATGTGCGTGAAGTTTTTAAGGCCACTTTTCTCTCACATTCACTGGAGGTTAAATTTATTCTTTTTCTTTGGCTTTAAAGACAAAAAGGCTAGCAGCTGTCACCTGTATGTATGAAATTATATGTAAATGAATACTATTTTGTCTCCTTGAAGGAAAACAAATTTTAGAAAAGCAATCCAAACTAATCAGAGACAATTCATTCAACAGCATTCCTGTGGTTTTACAGTAAAATGACTGGGCATATTTTTTAATGTATTGGATTGTGCCTTTGTCATGTTTTGTGGTAGAGTATAATCTAAAATTAGTAGGTATCTGAGGAAGTCTTTTACTGTTTATTAGTTCCCTGGGTTAGAGCCATTTAAAGTGTTCTCCTGTTTATAGATATGCACTAAATAAAACTTACAAGGTGAGAAATGTAAGTTTTGTTTGTTTCAGCAGGTAATAGAATAGAAAATGTGAAGTATATCCACTAAATTTGGGAACAGCTTCCTGGAAGAATTAGTTTTCAAGGGGAGGAGGAGAGGAGGGAAGATTCCTATAAGAAAGAAGTTGTTATCTTAGAACTAAGCAGGCTTAGTATAGATAAAAATAATACGTTTTTCTTATGTTTTTTCTTGATATGCCAGCTTGTTAATTATCCGGTAATCATTGTACTTAATCAGTTAAATCATACTAAATTCACTATTACGCTCTCTTTTTATGCCTAAACCATAGAAATACTGTGTTCAGTTGAAATGGAAAAAAAAAGAAGAGTTTTTGACCTTTTGAATATCATTTCATTTCCGACTTTTGAAAAAACGCTTGTTCTGGTTTTCACATTTAATATTAGCCTATAAAGTAGGACAAGAAAAATAAGACATGTAAACCCTTGTTCAAGAATTACTGTTCTTCTGTCTGACAGGCAAACCAGTTAGAAGAAAATACTTAAGTTTCAGAAGGCCCATCTGCGGCGGAAAATGAAGCCTCCATTGAGAAGGTGCTGTACCAGCTGAAGGGCAGAGCCCTGCTCTGTTTATCTGACTGGAGATGTTGGAGGACCCATGTGTAATGCTGTTTGTAGTGTGTCAAACAGTTTTATGTGGAGGCAAATTGAGAAGATGGAAGAAGTTGATCAAAGCTTGTGAGAAAAGTGGTGACAAATCTGTGCATTAATGACTTCGCAAAACCATACTTTGGGTGTTTGGACTTCTTACAATGAGATATTAATTTATTTTACAAAACGTAATTGCTAGCTTCCGATTAAGCTATAAAGTTGCAATTGAAGTGATGTGTATAATGTAAAATTTAGATGGCGTTACATATTCAGGCAAGCTGTAATTGTGAAAAGAAACAGCATCCTGTATATGGTATTTTTCTCTACCGGTTTTCTGCCTCTAACTTCACAGTGTGAAGAGACCAAAGATTTTTATGGGTTGTTGGCCTTAGTATGTCTGGCATAAGAGTAAATGATTTTTTAACACAGTTGTACATGAAAAGATACATCAAGTTAAAAATAATTCTATATTGGAAAAATTATGTCAGGCCTTTAAGAGATGCATTTAAAGGAGTGGACGAGTAACCTTTTAGACAAAGGTTATTAAGTTCTAGCTGTAAATACAGAACTAGAAGTCATTGAACATGAGTCATATACTGTAATAATATGTAATCCAATACATTTCACATATGAATTGGAAATTCTGCAGGGGGGCTGAAGTTTGGTTAACAGTTACTGTACTTACATTGGAATAGATGCATCACAAATGTTGCAGTTATTTGATGGCCAACAGGGTTTTGTTATTAAAAACATTTCTTTAACATCTGTGTTATGAGTGCTGCTTTGCCTATGATTGTTGACCCATGTTTTTTGAAGAATACTTAAATAACAGTTCTGCAAGTGAACATGCATCCATGCCAGTATGTGTGCATTACACACATGCACACGCAGGCACAGATTGCTCTGCCTGGATCCCTCGCTGAAATCTGTGCTGTGTGCAGGGGTATCAGTCCATGTGTGCTTTACAAATAGCCTGAGCAGGTCCCCAAGAGGTGAAAATCAATTGGTGATCAGAACAACATTTAGATAATGTTGACACAAGCGTGGATTGCATGTTCGTTTATTTATCCTCTGGGGCTGCAGCTTGATGACAACCTATAAACTATGCTGCAAACTTTTGTTATCTGATCATTTATTCATCATTTTTATAATGTTTCACTTTTGTGAGGATTAGAATTGAGTTTGTAATTATTTTTTTCTGAACAGTATTAATGGCTTCCATTTCATTAACATTTATAACCGGAGTGACTGATTATACATCTTCAAAGGATAATTGGGTCAGCAGGGATATGGTAAAGAGTAAGTTTTGTTACTGTTGACTTCAACTTTTATTTTAATGACAAGAAATAAAATTTAATAAGAAATAGAATTATATCACAGGATCACAGAATATGAGGAGTTGGAAGGGACCTCGAAAGTTCATCCAGTCCAACCCCTGCCAGAGCAGGAGCGGCTGAGGGAGCTGGGTCTCTTTAGCTTGGAGCAGAGGAGACTGAGGGGTGACCTCATTCATGGTTATAAATCTGTAAAGGGCGAGTGTCAGGAAGAAGGAGCCAGGCTCTGCTCAGTGACGGCCAATGACAGGACAAGGGGCAATGGGAGCAAGCTGGAGCATAGGAGGTTCAACCTGAACATGAGGAAAAACTTCTTTACTGTGAGGGTGACAGAGCCCTGGCCCAGGCTGCCCAGAGAGGTTGTGGAGTCTCCTTCTCTGCAGACATTCAAAACCCGCCTGGACGTGTTCCTGTGTGACCTGGTCTGGGTGATCCTGCTCTGGCAGGGGTTGGACTGGATGAGCTTTCGAGGTCCCTTCCAACTCCTGATATTCTGTGTGATTCTGTGAATTATACACATTAGGTCACAGTCCCCATCCTTAAGTATCACTTTCAGCTCTTCCCCTGTGCTCTATTTGTGTATAGAAATTTGATTATAATGTTGCATCTGCACTGTTCATCTGTTTCTGTGTTAGAACAATCTCTTTAGTACATTAGCACTTTATTGTGCAATTGCCTTTATTTCTTTATCTGTTTTTTTTATACTGATTTGAAGTCTTTTTACTTCAGCAGTTGAGAAAGTTCTGCTGCTTCCTGGATTTTATGATGTTTCAGCTGCAGATCTCAAAGTTTAAAAAAGAAATAAAAAGAAATATGAGTTGGCCTCTTTGCACTGTCCGTAATCTGTGATACAGATTGTCCAGAGAGGAAGTCTGAACTGATTTCAGTTTTCCACTCTTTTCTGTGTTTCACTTTTAATCTTACTTATTTTTCCCTAAGGAGTGCTGGGGGTTTTCTTCTGACTTTGGTGCTAAGAGTCCTGAGCAGAGGCGAAGCTTGAATATTCATTTATGCTGCCTACATTTTAATGCTATTTCCTTCTCATTATGCAATATTTATCCTTTAATTCTTGGTTAGGTTGCTTAAGCCCAAGTTTTGCCCTTGTCAGAGGAAGAATATCAGTTGTAAATATTACTAAATATTTTTCCATTGCTCCTCCAGTTCATGCTGTCTTTTGTATTTTGCTTCACGTTTTGTTCCGTGGCCCTCCTGGTGACCGATTCAACGTGGGGAAGTAACAGGGCTTCTTCTGAATCTACATTTCCCTGGCTGGCAAATTTCCTCTGCTTTATTTTGTCATTGGCCAGTGATGACAGGCTCCCACACCCACACACAATGTTAAAAATCAGGTCAGGTATAAAGGTAGGGCTTGGGTTCCTTTTTCTGGAAAGTAAACTTTGCCCAATATTCATGTCAAGCTCCCCTCGGTGATATTTTTCATTCTCTCATTTGATGTTTCATCAAAGCTGTTTACTCCTTTGTTGGAGCACTGTATGTTACCGCTTGAAGTGAAGGCTGTGGATTAATTTTTAGAATTTATCCTTTTTAATCTGAGCAGAGTGAAGTACAAATAATCCTTTGCTTGACTAATACTCTTGCAGCTAAGCAGCAGAGAAAGGAGGAGGTGAACTTTTCACACTACCATCTGTAACCAGCTGGTTCTGCCATTCAATTTTTAGTTTGCTTGAGGCAAAGAACTCTACTGTGTATTACAGCATGCAAGAGATGTAATCTTTTTCTATGCAGTGAGTTATCAGTGGTTCACTGGAAAGGTCATCTTTCTTTGTCTCACTTGCTACAGGAGATGCAAAATTTCCTACAGATGATTTTTGATAGGTACAATGCTTCCATTAGAGTTAAATTTGTGGAAATAGTGGACAGATGTACAGCTGCAGGCAAACTATGTGCAAATCTGGGATGATCTTTTCTTGTAGTAGCACAATTTCTTTGTACCAAGACTTCTGAATCTGTGACTAAACGTATGGGCTGTGATGTGCAGTGGGGAGTACTGTTTGTGCCCACCTGAGGAGGTTGGTAGGCCATAATTGGAGATGTTTGTGAGGCAAAGAGAGTAGGATGTGGCTGTAGGATGAGGTTTGGGAATCAAACTGTTGCAACTCCTGCACACTTGCTGCAGTACTTTCTGTACTAGATACACTCCTGCTCCTCTGAGTAGCCTCCCGGTTTAGGAAACAAGCTTATGAGGAAGAATATTTTTATTAGGAAGAATAAACCGGAAAAGAAACATTTTTGCAATAATTTTGATAGCTTATGAAAACACAGTACAACTCTGCCTGGACTGGGTTGACAGTGAGTTCCTACAGTCCTCCAGAGAGACTTGAAGCTGTGCAGGCTGATGACTCTTCACCAAAGAAAGGAATGTGTGAAACTGCTGAAGTGGCATCTTCCCATGCAAGAGCAACCTAATGACAGGTAAAGCTGAGTGGACTGGCTGACCAAGTAACTTCTACAACAACCTCAGTTACTCAGGCTGAAAATTTCTGTACTGGGCTTTTGTCTGCCAGGAAGCAGAG